AAAAGTTATTAAAAAGAATCAAAAAACTTATAACTCATATAAAAAAGTTAAAAATTCATTTTTTTCTCTACTTTTTTCACATTTTCTCATAAAAAATCTAAAAATTATTACAAACATACTAGTTTTTTTTACCTCAAATGTAGGCGTGTGAAGATGTTGACAAACTTTTGTTTTTGTAATCCACGGAAGAATCATGACGAATATTTTTATTTTTGATTTACGTTATTTAGATTTGTGAACATTATGTATGTATTATGCAACATTATGTGGTGGGATAATTTTGATGATGTGTTGTTATGAATGGAAGAATACTTTAATTATGGATGGATTTTTATTTATATACAGGAATTTTTATATTATTATATAATTATCGGTCTTTTTTTTAGTTATTTTCATTTAATACAAGTAATTTTCATATTTTTAATAATTGTGTTGCAGTTTTTTTTTTTTGAGACGGTATCATACTGTCTCAAAAAGGGTTTTTTGCGATGGTAGCATAGCCGTCGCCAAAGATATTGGCATTATTAGTTAATTGGAACAAAAGGCCTTTAGCGACGGTATCCTTCACCGTCATAAATACTATTTTTATCGACGGTATTTTTACCGTCGCAAATAACCATTTTAGCGACGGCATTTTTGCGGTCTCAAATAAAACTTTTAGCGATGATATTTTTACCGTCGCAAATAACCTTTTTAGCGACGGTACCACAGTGCCGTCTCAAAAACTTAAAATTTTTACACATTAATAGCGACAGTATTTTGCCGTCACTAAAAGGCACTTTCGCCGTCGCCTATATTTTGCGACGGTGTCACACCGTCGCTAAAGGCCTTTAGCAACCCCTCTTTGTTGCGACCCCCCTATTATCGTTGCTAAAAGCCCGCTACCGTCACAAAAAAGCTTTTGAGACGGGGTTTTGGGTATTTGCGACGGTATTTTACCGTCGCAAAAAAGTAATTTTTTTGTAGTGATTGGACCAACTAATAACTTCTCTATTCTCTCATATTTTACACATCAATCAATCAATCAAATTTCCTCTCAGACCCGTCTATTTAACTACAAAAAAAAAAAAACTGCAAATCATATCAAAAATTATTTTCAAAACTTATAACCAAACAAATTTTTAATTTTTAAATACTCTTTTCAACAACTTATCTTTCAAAATACAACTCAAAACTCAAAACCCTATTCAAAAACTAAAGCAAGCAGAGATATTTTGATGAATGAATTTAAGATAATTTTTGAGCACTTTTCATCAAATTTAAAAATTTGATAATAAAAAAAAGTTTAAGAATTAAGTGGTGTTTTATAACCTAATTTACACTTAAAATTGAATATATTAAGTGAAAATTAATTAAATATATTTGGTAAGCATAATGGATATCATTTAAAAATTTAAGTGACTATTAAAATATAGACTAAAAATTAAGAAAATTTTAAGTGATAAAAAACCTTCTTAATTTTGACTGAATTATAAAATACTTATACATATATGTTGACATACATGGTTATAACCTCACTATCACCACCACTCCTATCATTGCCATTATTACTACCATCAACATGCCACCAACACAGCTATTACTACCACTACCATCGTCACGTTACCATTGTAGCTATTGCCATTGCCATCTTCTTCCCACTACTGTTGATGGTGTGTCGCCACTACTCCTACCATTACCATCACTGCCACCACCACATCATCTATTGTTACCACTCCTCCCCACCACCGCCGCCACTATACTACAACCTCTATCACCATTGTTATCGTTGCATAGATATTATACTATTATTATTTCATTACTATTACCACAGTTGCCATTATTATTAGGACTACCTCTCCACCACCATTATAACTACCCTTCACCTACATACACATTGTTACCATTGTCATAATTATCACCATCATTCCATTACTAAAATTACCACCACCATTATACTACCATCATCCCATTTTACCACCATTGCATTACACTCCAGCATTATCACAATCACAATCACAATCTTAGTATTTCCACTACCATTGTCATTAGCACTGCCACCATTATTACAATATAAAAATTACAAATTACAAATTTAAAATAATAAATTTTAAATTTAATTTTATATATGTCAAATAATTTATTTTAGTTCATCACTAGGTGTCGTTTGGGAAGAGCTTATTTGGGCTCTTTTGGCTCTTTGAGCCACAAAAGACAGAATATGCTATTTGAGTCACAACAGACAAAACATCACATCCAACCCATAATCATTACACTCCTCTCTCACAAAAAAAGTCAAAAAAGCCAAAAAGTCAAAAAATCCTTCCCAAACCAAGCTTTTGAGCCCAGGCTCAAATAGCCAAAAAAGTCAAAAAGCCAACCCACTTCTTAAACGGAGGCTTAATTTTTATCAAATAAATTTTCAACTTAAAAAATTTAATATTTAATTTTTAACTTTCAATTTTATCAACCACAACGTTAAAGATGCTCTGAAAGAGACATTTCAATAATTTTAATATATATATATATATTTTTTTATATTCGAAGAATTAAAATGCACAAATAAAGTGTTATAAGCAATGCTAGGGCCCTAACAAAATTAACAAAATTACAAAATTCTTTACCAAACACATAGATCTTTACCAAACACATAGACACGTACGTAAACCCTAATAACCCAAAATCATTCAAATAATGCTATATGTGTCAATTAATATACACATTAATATACTAACAGATGATATAATATCATTTTGTATTATTTTAAATATTTGTAACTTATATAATAAATATAGTCAATAATAATATCCTAACACTAATTAGTACACATGTACACTAATGGATACATGTCACACACCGAAAACACTCCGGTCATTAGTTAATTTCCCAAGAAACCGTCAGCTTGCCACGACACCGTTTCAGGTAAAAACCCCTAGGGTTTACTATGCGTCTTCCCTTCGTCAAAGCAAAATCATATTATGATTGCTTCTCATTCTTCTTCTTCACCATTTCAAAACCAGTGTAACAAAACCCTCATTATATAACGCAATTCATACTCACACATATATACATATACATATACATATACATATACATCTCTCTCTCTGTCTCTCTGTCTCTCTATATATATATATATATATATGCGCATACATATGGATGAAGAAGTGACTCTTGTTGCGAGAAAATCATGTTTCGGTCTCCCCACAGCTTGCCCTTCATGTTTGCCTGTTTACATTTACCTCAAATTTGCTCAATTTCCCTTCAATTTGGCTTTCAATCTTACCTACCCTGATTCAGGTTCACTCTCTCTTCATTCTCATTATTGTAGATTTTTTTTTATTTTTTTTTTTTGCAAATTTATTGGTATTGGTCTCCTTAGTGTTTTCAGATTTGAATTTTGCATCTCTTCTTTGTTTTGAGCTAACTGTTTTGGGATTTGTTTACTATTTTAATGTCAATTTATGATATGCTTGGATTGTTGGGAAGGATTTTTTTTTTAAATGATTGAGACCCCTAAAACATCAACCCTAAATTTATACCAATAGTGTGAACCGTTGCATGTAAGTTATTGATTTGTTTAGAGTCAACCAACTATGACTCAACCCTACCACACCACTGTGGGTGAATTTAGGGTGATTTCTTTTAGGGGCAATTCTTAAGAGTGCAAGTGCATACCATATGTATACGTAAGTTACCTCACAAAATTGCGTACATTTTCACAAACATACGTAATGTAAGATACCTCATAAAAATTTGAGAAATCACAACTTACGTATATTTGTGAGAACCTACGTGATTTTGTGTGACAACTTATATATATTTGTGAGAACTTATGCAAGTGCATATGGTATGCACCTTGCACATCCAAACACTTCCCTTCTTTTAGAGATTTTTGTTTTTGTTTTTCGTACATTGGGTGGGGGGAGGTGGAGTTGAACTCATGAATTTGTAGTGAACTACACGGGTTTCTAGCCACTGGGCTAGGCTAATCCCAGTTGTTTGGACAGCTGATTATAATTTGTGACTTCTTAGTGTCATATTTAGCGGCTGTGATTGGTTTTATATGCTTTATCTTAAGAGGCCTCAGAACTTATCTCTAGTTGGCGAATAGAATTTAAAAAAAATATATACTTTCTACGATGTTTATCAATTAAAATATACTTGCGAGATGGATTCCTTTACCCTTGTTTTAGTTTCTGGATTATTTGGTGCTGTACTTTATAGGAACCCTGTTACTGTGATTGCCGCTCTTCTGCTATAATCACTGGCTTACTGTTAATATTCCAATGTCATCGAAATTTGATCTAATTTTTTAAGTCTATAAACATCAATTTTGAATGATTTAAAGAAAATACATGAAAAGTGTGTGTGTGTGTGTGTGTGTGTGCGCGAGAGAGAGATTTTGGTACAAATTTTTTTTGGTGGAGCCTATGAGACGGTGGACCTCAATATGCTCTTGGAGTGGCCATGATGTCATGTGCCACTGAACATTTACAGTGAGGAAGCATTTCTGAAACTACTAACAAGACCCAAGGATGGATTGGGGTTTTACATCACCATTAAGGTTAATTGCTTTGCATTGCCCGAACTTCAAAGGGCATGTTGATGCAATTTGCATGTCAGGGAAATATTCAATTAGAGATGCTCAATTATTCTTTATCGTTGTTGCTATAAGTGCAAACTAACAAAAAAATGGGAGTCTAGGAGGGATAGATTGGGTACAGTTTTAACTTTTGGCATTATTTGCATAAAGTGTCTTTTCTCAGATTTGAACCCACAATCCCAAGGTTGATTGCTGAGTTTTAACCGTTAAATTGGTGACTCCTTTTTAAACTATCAAGTTAATAAATTTGAGCCATAAACTGATAAGAAATTAACTATTTCATTTGGTGGATATTGATTGGGTGGCACCATCTACTTGTGATAAGATGATTTTGCTTGATTATAGAGGCTTTGGTTCGAGGAAAGCCGGTGTGCTTTCAGATTTCTCCCAACCAAAAAGAGTGAATTATACATAAACATGTAATTCAATCTTAATTGTTATCAAATACCCTTTCTAAACCTATTTTAATCATGTTATTTTCATATCATAGAAATAGATCTAGGCGAAGGATAAGGAACTATACCTCATTTTGAGTTTCCAGGCTTCTCCTTTGTTTCCTTTTTTTTTTTTTATATATACTTTTCCTCACTTTCCCTCTTATTTTCTTAAATAATGATTTCAGATTTCACAATGATGACTCTGTGATTGTCTCTGCACTTTTATATTTTATTAAAAATTATACATGCAAAATTATATCTAATACAGCACGTGTCACAAACATTGTAGGAAAATGCAATTAGGCGATGTCACAAGAAAAGGTGTGTACTTCAACAATTTACACTGATCACATTGATTGACACAAATTAATCATAGTTAAGGTAATGAATGTCGATTACCTTGGTTAATCACGCTTAGCATTAACAGTCTCACTTAAGCTTAATCATGTTTATGCTAATTAATCATACTTAAGATTAACTAATTACGGTTAGTTTTTCACTCACAGTTTGAGAATGTAGTAGCCATTGGACCAAATTGCTTGAGCACCTTGATTAACCATCCAAACATCATTAAGGCAATTAAACAATTCTCATTCAAGTGTCCCCTACTGCAATCTTTAGTCAACACACACAGTGGACATCACTCCTTTTTAATTTTCATATCTAAAAGACTTGTTTCAACGAGAAAAGTAATCACATAAATATAGGCATTGCTATTATAGAGCATCTGTTTATACAAAATCTCCTATATTAGAGGACAATTTATTTAAAGTGTTGAGCATCTTCTGAATTCAAGCATTAACCACATAACATTCTCTTACTAGGAGCCCAGTACATCTTTAGATGATCACATAGCCTTTTTATTGAAGCATAGAGTGTGGTCACATAAAGCACAGACAAAATGCACGATTACCACACACAAGTAATACCTAGGGTATTACACATCTGTTTTTCACCTCACCCGGGTGCAGATGCGGTCCCCTTGCCTATTTTTCGAAATGCCCGAATACAGGCACAATGCATTGCTTATAGGTGACACCCCAACCCTTGCTTGCATATTCATATCAAGATTCATGTTCATAAGGATTTTGACATGCTAGTTGTCAAGCTACCTAACGCACAACTCTCCTTATTGGATTGGGAGCAGTTGTGTAAAACATGAAGCACTAAGCATGGCACATGTAGAGTTGCTACAAGTAAACTTAAGTAAAAAACAAACAATGACTAACATGATTTCAAATGCAATTAAGGCTTCGGCCTTACAAGCATTCTTGCAACACCTGTTATGTCCCCTTAAAAGTACATTGTCATGCTCCAGTATGTTGCTAAGAAGTGCAACACCAAAAAATAATGTGCAGTGAGATGAGGAATTAGATCCTTTACCTTGTCCTACAGTTTACTCTTGACACTTATCCATGTAATGGTCTGGATAAAGCAAAATGGAAAAAGGGCTTTGAGAAGCAGAGTCCATAAGTTGGTGAAGGCTTTTCTTGTATAACCATGTTATTTGGTATTGAAATAGTGGTTAAGCTGGCTTTTTATTGTGTACGAGTTGGAAAACACAATAGGTTTGTGTAATATGATTTTATTAGTTTTATGTTTTAAGTTAATTAAATTATAACCAAACTTCGGTACCTTTTTTATTCTAATGAGCAAAGAAATGCTATTATTGCTGTCATCATAATGTGATCTTTGACTTCAATTTTGCTAGATCAAATTCCTTATGTTGAGTCTGGTACTTATGTGGCCTACAACAATGAGAAGGGTGGGGTTATTGAGAGCTTAAAAGAAGATGGTATTGTTGATTTGGACTCCGAAGTTCATTCTGTCCCTGAATGGATATCCACAAAGGCAATGGTTAATTCATGGCTTGCAGATGCACTGATGTATGAACTATGGGTGGGCTCTGATGGAAGTTCTGCACACAAGGTATATTATTCTGACCTGCCATGGCCAATTGGAAAGTTTCTGTATTTCAAGCAAGTTCGCATTACAAAACAACTAATTGGAATAACAAAGGAAAATGCAGACCGAAGAGAAGAGGAGGTACTTTCCATCTCTCTCTCTCTCCTCTCTCTTGTTAAAATAGCACATGCTAGAGGAGTTGATTTTACCTGTTCTCTTTCTTCTTACAAAAATGTGCACTTGCACTTATCCTTAAGTGTGCACTTTCAATAATTTTCGGTTGGACAGATTTACAGGAGAGCAACAGTTGCTTATGGAGCTCTATCAACTAGGTTAGGGGATCAGTTCTTTTTATTTGAGAGCAGGTGACTACAACATATGCTGTTTTAATTTTTGTTTACTTCACTTAGATATTAAACACTCGAAGCAACTTTCAAAGCCTTAAATTCGCTTTAATGAGATGACAAATAAAATTAATGTGCTCTGGGGTTACAGGCCAACGAGTTTGGATGCAGTTTTCCTTGGGCATGCACTTTTTGTACTTCACGCACTACCTGTGAGTACCTTTATTGACGGCATCATTTTGATGATCTTTGTTAAAGATGATTGTGGTTTATTATGTCTGTATTCATGCTAAAGTTGGTATCTTATGGTATATATTATGCATGAAAAAATAAACAAAATTTTCCCTTCTCTTTTCCATATTGGTTAGAGTTGATTGGTCCTTCTTAAAACAAATAAATCAGTTAGAGTTGACTGGTACTTGTTTCTACGTTGTTACACAAAATTGATATTAGCTAGAAATAGAACACTGGTTATGAGCACAAGATTGCATAAAATCTGGTGCCTTGAGATGTTAAAAGCGGCATGCTTGAATAGTAAGATTTCCATGAAAGTCAAAAGATTGATTCCCATTGTTACCAACTGGTGAAGAGATTTGGGAATGGACTTCAAAATGTTTGTCTTGCTGCCACAGTTGTAAGTGTTCAGTCTCTCGGCAGGCAGTCACCCTCGGAAAAGATTCATAAAAATAGCTAAAAGTACTGAATCGTTTTGCCATCCTTTCTTTTGTGGGCATTAGATTCATATCTGCATCAACTGACTAAATTCAAGAGTATTCGTGGACTCAAATGAACCACTAGGTCAGCAAAACAGTGTCATATCTGTCGAGTCTATAATTCTACATGTTGCCTATTTCATATCGACTCAGGTATGTCTATTTGGTTTTTGGGTTTCTATCTAACTGTTTCACACCCTTGTGCCGGCCTTTAAAAGTTAAGATAACTTGGTTGAAGTGGGTCTTAAGAGTTAGGATAATTAAAGGGTACAACCTGCACATGGACATATGTATTATACAGTGCATATTACAATAAATATATTGTAATCAGATACACTATGCTTAAATAGATACTACCAATATGGGATGTAGTGACAATTCCCATACTGTTGGTGTTAGTTTTACCTTGATTGAGTTATTAAAGGATGACAATGTTTACTTATGTACTAATAGGACACATCAGTTCTGCGGAGCAAGCTTGTGGAGCATTCTAATCTAGTACAATATGCTGATAAACTTAAGATGGAGTTCATAGATGGTGGTTCATCCTCTTCTACTCCACCATTCCCGGCAGATCCATCGTCATCATTTCAAAGACGGGGAGGTACTTCAAATTGGTGTAATATACTTTTGGCTTTCACTCATGGATCTCTTCATTGGTTATTTCTGTGGTGTTGAATTCCGTATTGTCTCTATTGGACACTATAATAAATTAGACCACAGTTTTATGTGTCAGTTAAGTGTTTAAGGTTTTTTATGTTTTTTTTTTTTGCTGCCTAAAATAGAAATGCCATTGGTAAACATTGCCTTCAATCATTCTGGCTGAGGGGTAACCAAAGACATTGGTGGTAGATTGGGGCTCTTCTTTATTTCATATCTCAGATATTTGCAAACTTTGCTTTAGTTTCATGATTATGGTTGCTGGTTGGTATTGATGAAGAAAGTGGATAGGTTTTATGCTAGATCTTGTCATTAGTTGGCTTCTTGGTATGGGCAAAAGGAATAAAAACCTATGAATAATATTGCTTTCTTACCCTTTTGAGTGCCTGGATAATGTGATAGCATTTAATTTGTTGGACAATTTGGTGAATCTGTTGATACACGCAATTTCTTTTATTTATTTATTATTTTAGTGTATTGGTGATATCAGTAGCTGTACAACCAACATCAGAGGTTGATGAGTGTTACCAGAAAATGTTGATTCCTAGCGAATTACCTTTTTGGAACGCACGTTCCGAAATATGGTACACATTCGTTCCAAAACGTTAAATTTCGTGATCCAAAACAATCCCATAAGTTTTTTCCAATATATTTCAGGGTTTCCTTTGGAGTAAAAAAAAACAAGCCTAAATTACACTCATCTCCTTTGAGGTTTGGAAAAATACAATTAGCTCCACACTTTTGACATAGTTACACTAACCTCCTTTTTAGTAAATTGGCCAAAACTAATGCAGGTAGTGGGTAACACTGAAATAAACAAAGATAAATATACATTTTCGTATAAAAGAGATGACGATATCATTTTTTTTATTCATTCAATTAACAAATTACTGGTGAAAAAGGGCCTAACTTATGTGAATTAAAACCTTAAGGGAGACCTGTGTAATCATGTCAAAAGTGTGGAGCTAACTATATTTTTCCCAAACCGTAGGGAAGGTGAGTGTAATTTACCCAAAAAACAAATATAATGGCCTCAAATTTAAGGGTAGTGAAATTTTAACATGACAATACATAAAAAATGAGTCATAATATTCATAAAAATGTGTTGCCATATGATTAATTTAAAAAAACAAAAACAAAAAAATTATTGGATGTCTAATTGTTATAAAATTTCTCTAGACTAAAAATACCTTAACATTTTGTTTGGTTTGAGTGATTTGGAGAGAAAAGAAAAGAAATGAAATGGAGAGAAATGGATTTCAATTACTTGTTTGGATTACCAAATAGGAGAGAAATGGAGAAACCAATTTCTCCTCAAACCCTATTTTTGAATCTCTCCAAAGGTGGAGAGATTAGGAGAGAAAAGAAACTAGGAGATTATTATATTCATAATCCCAATAATATCCTTGTAGATATAAAAGAAATAAAAATATTGACACTCATGTCCTCACTTGTATGGTCACCAAATATAAAAAGGATATTTTAGTAATATAACATGAAAACATTTCTTTTATTTTCTCTTATGTAGTTTTATCAAACAAGATAGGAGAGAAATTATTTGCTTTACTTTCCTTTCCTTTTCTCTCCTACTTACCCACACAAGTAGGAGAGACAACATAATCTTTTCTTTTCTTTTCTTTTCTTTTCTTTCGTAAAAGTAATCATTTCTTTTCTTTTGTCTCCTAGTTTCCCAAACAGAGTGTAAATTTTTAGTGTAAACTATACAAGCCTACTCTTATTATACCACAATTTAGAGCATGTGGCGTACCACGTTTCCGTTCCACAAATCCACATTCTAGGTAACATGAGAAATTCACCCTCCTGGCCTCTTCTATTTATTAACTGGAAAATCACAGGCCTACAAGCCTGGAAATGATATTATAACCTTGAATTTCTTTCGACTTTCCAAAAGTTTTTGTTTTATTTAGGGAAGCAAGATTTGTGTTCAATGCAATATAAAACACATGACACGGGTGATGGGTGTCGCATTGATTTCCTTTGGAAATTGCGTTATGGCATTCTTATCTAAGTACTTGCTGAGGTTTGAGAGGAGCATATTAATATATTTCTGGAGATAATAAAACATTCAATTGATGGTTTGAACTGTCCCTCTACTCTAGTTAGAATTCTGCAGTTGAGTACTTTGTGCTTGGGTGAGTGGGTTCTTCCTTTCTTTTCTTTTCTGTGCGGGGGAAATCTTTATGGTCTTTGTGGTTGCATTTGGAATGTAGTTGATAAATTCATTCATGCTTCCCAGCTGTCATGAGTGGGGAATTTTTATTATTGTTTCTTTACAAAGATTGTAGTGATGATTTTTAATTGTTATATCCGAATATTTCTTTCTTCTTTGAACTGATCTGTGGCTATTGAGATATGGTTCCAGCTATATGTCTTTCTGTTGCCTTTTCTTTCTTTATGCATAATTGTAAGAGTAACTGAGTTTTTATCCTTTTAGGTTCAAAACCCAAGAGCAAACCTAAAAAGGAAAAGACAGAGGAAGAGAGAAAATTTAGAAGACGGGCCAAATATTTCTTGGTAACACAGCTGGTAGCAGTTTTAGTTTTCCTGTCACTCCTTGGTGGGTCAGATGATGCTGAAGTAGTGCTCGATGACGATGACAGTTTGAATTACAATGACTAAATGAGTACACATTTATGAGTTGAGCTCTTTTTTTTTTTTTCACATGCGGGTTACCTTTCCTTGGCTGCAGGCCATGGCCCAAGTGGATTTTTTCCCTCCCTCTATTTCATTTTCATTTTCCATTGAAATTTTGGAAAAATTGCATCCATGTGTAGACAATTAATATGATTTGTGCAATAGGTCAAAACTATATTTTTTGGCAGAAATAATTAGTTTAATGTTGAAGAGAATGCTTTTTGCCATCGATTGGCTGAGTGTGCAGTTTGTGAATAATCTGTTAGTGCAGTGTGCATACCATTTTTATTCAGTTTTGTTATGTAATTTGATCATTTTTATACTGAAATTTTAAAAATAAAAAATAAAAAGGAATGGGTTAATTGAAGACGAGAAAGGCGTAAGAGATGATTTTGAGTTTGGATGCAGAGTATTTGCTTAATGATTGATAATACAAGATAGAGGTGAGTTTGTAAGATGGGTAGTGCACTCTAAAATTAGAAATAAGAAATGCCAAACAGACCTCTGACGCACTGAATTTGATTTCATTTTATCTGGGTAGCTTCTGGATTTTTAGAGGTTCTGACCTCGGTTTTGGTTGGTTTAATTTGAAGATTTGGTTATAATGAATGTGGAGTCGAGACCTCTGAATCCCCAGATATTTGTTCTCTCTCTCTCTCTCTCTCTGTGTCTCTCACGCTTTAATGCTTACTGTCTGACTAGTTGAACAGATTGGTCTCAGAATGGGTTTACAATTTGACATTTTTTGAGTAAATTAATGAGATTTTACTCAGATCTTCATAATTTTAATTTCATCACTTTTAACTTTACAATTTCATTTTCGTTTTAGTATGCTTCCTCCATAATCTGTTAGTATTGCAGACAAAAACAATGCATGCTATACTAATGGCCGCGTTTAGATAATGAATTTGAATAAAAATTTGAAAAAGAAAAAGAAAAGCAAAAAATGAAGGTGAAATGTCAGTGAAATATAACTTTTTAAATTTCTACCTAAACTCATGATCCAAACATAGTCAAAAGTGATTAAATTGAAATTCAAATAAAACTATAAAGATTACTTCCAATTTATATTGCCCAAAGCTAGAATCATATGTAATCATATGCAAAACTCCTACGGTGTTCTGACCATTCATTTAGGAACCATAAAATGGGCAAGAGACCATCATATACACTTCCTTTACATCTTCAATCATGTGAATGCTATTTTGCAAATTTCTCTCATGTGTATATATATATATATATATGTACTTTTTGTGTATTACACAGTTCAGAGAAATCTAAATCAGCCAAGTTTATTAAAACACTTTTTTTTTCGTTTTTCTTTTTTATAGATGATGAAGAAATTAAAGACAATTACCCGGGCATACGGGTGACAATATAGTGCCCCTTTTCCAAGTCATATATTGTCTTCAATTGTGGTTTTTGACATTTTAATAAAAATAATGCACCTAGGACAATTATTAAAAGTACTGCAAACAATGAGAAATAAGCGACTGCGTCATTTCCAACAATCTCGCCCAGCTCATTCGGTTCCAATTGAAGGGGCTCCCGGATAGTTTGGAGGATAAAAGCTCCAAGAGTCCAGTCAACGGGAATGACTCCAACCTGATTGCCAAATCTAATCCTGCATACAACAATTTTCTGTCGTCAAATTCCGATAGGAATTTTTTTCTCATGGTTTTTAAATTTTAAATCAGCATGTAAGGGTGGAAATAGCAAAAGAAAATTGGACTTTTCATTGAAATATTAACTCAACACTTGTAAAAAGTGCAACACTGACAAACTAAGTGAACAATAACAAGCGATGAAGCAACATACAAGATGCCAACATATATAATGACAAGCAAGTTGGAATGAAATTAATGTTTTGTTTGGATAGAGGGATTTCAAAGGAAGGGATTTGAGGATAAACTTTTTGAAAATATAGTAAAGTTGACAATAATAGATAGATTGAGAAACTAAAAGAGAAGATAGAGTAGAGCAAGAAGACATGCATTTTACCATGATCATTGTAGCCTTAAAATGAAAGGGAATTCAAACAACTAATTTTACTTTGTTATTTCAAATCCATCATGGTGAAATCCTCAAATTCAATCTAGAAGTTGTATTGTGATAATAAGGATATTATTAATATAGCTCATTAGACCAAAATATATCAATATTGACAGACATTTCATCAAGAAAAAGTTGAATAAGCGTTTGACTTATATGCCTATTGTGAAATCAAAAGATCAATTGATTGATCTATTTACTAGAAGAGTAAGGTTCTCCATTCCATTGTTTGTAAGTTTGGCATGAGACATTTTCGCACCAACCTTAAGGAGTGTTGTATATTATGTCTTTATCCTACATTTAATTGCTTAGTAGTCTGAAAGGTATTTCTGTATTTTGACCCATATTACCGGCTCTTTTCCTTGCTCTTGTGGGAGATTCTATTTACAACACAGATTCAAATCTCTATACCTACTTTCTTATTACACCCACCTATAAAATTTAATTTTTTCATTCTCTCTCTAAACCCCTCCTAATAACAAACATACCTCCATCCTAAACCTCACACCTCTCTACACCCACCCTCTTCCTCTCTCCTTCCCTCTTCCATCTCTTCTACCCCAGAGGAGGATGACATGAGGGTGACAACTACGGCCGAATAAACTAGATTTGTTTGGAAAACAACACCCACGCAAACTTGGTTTGTTCAGCTAACAATAGCTGAACTGAACAAATCAAGTTTGATGAGTTGTTGTCTACCAAACGGCCCAAAGTTGGTTAAACTAGTTACACTCAGCCTTAGTTGTTCGAAAAAACTTAAGATTTTCAGCGTATAGGGCCTAACAAACTTATTTTGTTTGAAATCTAGTGCCAAACGGAGCTTCGACTACAGTTTTCCAAATAGCACTTATCTCCATCAGAATCATAGAAAATCACACTTAATAAACACACTTAAACAACCAAATATTGTATCTCCTATGAATGTGGAGCTCTCGTTCTTCCTTCTACATCTTTGTCCTGTGTACCCCAATTGTCTCTTAACTTATTATCTATTAGTCAACTTTCTAATTCAGGATTTGATGTTCTCTTTTCTTCTTTTGGTTGTGTTGTTCAAGATCAAAAGTCGAAACAGTAGATTAAGATCAGGCATAGGACTAGTGACTTATATATGATGGAGATTTAGCATATTCTTGTGGAGTTCTCTTCCACAACAATATCTTCATTATGTCTAAATCAGAATTTGAGTCAAATTAATCTTTTGACATTTTAGGTTAGGTTATTTGTGTAGTGAGCATTTAAAGAGTTTATTTATTGTTATCTTTTGCTTCATTTTGACTATTCAAGCTTACATTGATGATAATTGAGTTGGATATGTTTCCGATTGTAAGTCTACTATTGGTTTTTGTGTACTTCTTGGTAACTCTCCTCTTGTGAAAAACTAAGAAACAGACTTGTTGCTCAGTCTATGGCTGAGGTCAAATGTCATGAACGAGGATTGTTTAGCTTCATTGGCTCCTTTCAAATTTGGGTGTCTCCATCTCATTTCCTACTTGCCTTTATTGCGATAATCAGAGCGCTATTCAGATTGCCCACAATTCCACGAGTGCACAAAGTACATCAAGATTAATTGTAATTTCATTCATCATCTTCAATCAGGTACCACCAATCTTGCCTTTATCTCTTCCTCCTTACAAATTGCTGACTTCTTCACCAAAATCACATGTTTACCCGATTTCAGTTCTTACCTAACAAACTGTCGATGCTTACAGGGCTTGCATCATGAGTTTGAAGGGGGGAGGAGTGTGAATGCGTGTTTTGTATTATTTGTATTTTGTTCTTATATATTTAGTTTGATAGTATTTTTGTTTTTTTAGGTTTTAGGGTTTCACTCTATTTTATCAGTGTAAACCATTTTAGTAATTTAGATTTTGTGGTTAATGAATAAGAATATATGGTTTTTTCTCTCCATTTTTTTTTCTTTTTACCGTCAAAATTTGCAAATATGTGTCAGAATAAGATGTGAAACAAGATGACAAAGCTAACCATTCAGAAGAGAGGGGGGGGGACTTTACCTCTTATCAGTCATTGGGATACCAAAACTGTCATGCAACAATGCCACAACATATGCAGAAGAAAAACAATATCTCAACAAATCCAGGTCATCAGTGCTATGATATTTTCTCTTCAGTTGATACCAATCATCTTCACAGTAATGATGGCCAGCTGCCTCCAACTCTGATAAAGTAGCCATCGGAGCAAGGCCAAAAAACTGTCCAATATTGAAAAGAAAATTTAGTAAACTAATAACAGGAGAGAGAGAGAGAGAGAGAGAATCAATCCATGTGAAGACAATGGTGCAAAATTGGGATGTTGACTCAAAAATGACACATGATGCATTGTATGATATGGTCTATTCTTGTGATACTGTCCAAAAACTGTTTTGGCAGGCAATTTTACGTTTCCTAATTGAATGCTATTGCAATTCATTTTTTGGTAGCATAAGCATTTTATTAGTGAATCTCGGTATAGGTTACTCAATTCTATAAGGCTCATTAGAGGACCAAGTTAATGATGTTTGTGCAAATTTTTCTGCTAAGTAAAAATAATAAAACTTACAAAAAGGTCATTAAATTTGTTAAGTTTGCGCAAGTTCACCTCAGCTTTATTTTGTTTGTGGGAATCAGTGTTTAGGAATGGCTGCTTCATTTCCACACTTGTGATTTCCAGGAATAGCTAGACCATGTGATTCCCATTCCAAACCGTAGGGATCCATTCTCGAGACTTAGCAACTTTGAAATCTATTTTTAGGATACCATTTGTCATCTAAATATATTTCACATTTTTCAGCAATGAATTTCATTAATTGGGATCATAAGTTATTGATGCAGCCCTAGCTAAGGTAGAAATAATCCAAATCCAAATCCAAATCACCCAAAATTCAAGAAAGCATTGTTCAGCTTACATGAGAGAGAGAGAGAGAGATGTAAACTTTATAAATTATAATATGAATAAGAACAGATACTGCTGTCTTCCAATGTATGTCACTGATAACAAACCTCAGAAATAAAGAAGAATTTATCTGGAGGACCAAGCCGGCTTTGCAACTCAACGAGGGAAGATGATACTCTTTCACAAGGTGGATGCAAGCATATATCTGCACATGAGATGAAACCATCACTGAGAATAATTTGCAGTGAATGATGATGAAGAAAACAATGGTATCTAAATATATTTCATGGTCTTTTGACGTGATATTATCCTTTTGGACCCAAACAAAAAGTCTCTGGACTTATTGCCTTGTAAGTCCAAAAAGAGGATATACGGCCCGAGCTCCATGTTTTTATTTGCTATGTATATGGATATCACATTGATAGACATCTAAAACTAATGAAAAACCAACCAATTCAACATGTAAAAACAACTTGATCTATAATATATATATTTTTTTTGGATAAATAACCTGGTCTATAATTTAAACATCATTCAACATAAAAAAAAAAACTATTTTTCAATGATAAACCATTACCTCACAAACATCAAAAGCATTTAATATAATAATAAATAGATCATATGTAAAAACAAATAATCACAAGTCAAATGTGTCCTAGGGTGTGTCTGTGATGTGTCTCCATCCAAAACGAAAATTAATAATAAAAATAGGCATGCCATGTGGAGTGTTTAACATGTATCCTCGTGTGTTTGAGGCTTATAGGTGTCGGACATATGCCGAACATGGTTAGGACTAATTTGGAGTGTATGTGCTTCATAGATCACCATAATCTTAACCTATTGCTTGGAATCAATTATTTTACAAACCTTAACCTTATTTCCCTTGTTTAATCTATTAACCCACCACTTTTCCGTCACAATAAACAGTAGAATACAAAAACTCTAGGTAATCATCATGTGTTACACTCGTAGTGGCAAACATGTACAAGTATAATGGTAATTTCTAGCATAAAACATTTCATGGTATAGGGAACTTTTCCAATCTACCTTTCTGGAATTTTTTCTATTATATCCTTAATTGGAACATAAATTGAATAATTATACTTGGAACAGCAATCAAGCAGAACAAAGAAGTTTCTCATCTTGCATCACTCATGGCAAGCTATGGCAGATGCCTATAGTCAAGAATCCAAGTATAACAAAACCTACTAATAATTCTTGAATATTTTGAAGGATCAAAGAATAATATCATCAACTCTGTGACCTTCAACGTTGAGGTGCAACTGAAGATTCAAAGAGACTATTTTTTCTGGACACAATGGAGCTCCCATTCATACATGCATAACATCAGTGATTCCTTGCGAGAGAGAGAGAGAGAGAGAGAACAATTCATTCCTAGAAAAAGGGGAAAAAAACTATCATGTAAATATTAGGCCTTGTTTGTTTTCCATGTTTATTTAAAAAAATAAGATGGCCAATTACCGTTGCTTGGCAGTATGAGAAGCCAAACAAACCATCATGGCTTAACCCTGGCTCATGCTTAGACTAACAATGAAAATATGACTGAAGCTGTTAGCACTATATTTTATGTAGTCACTGAGAAAAACAAAAGTCTGACACGTTATTGGTTCTATAAATGTCCCTCTTTCAACTGCGAGATTGAAAAAAATCAACGATCTAGGTAACACTCGCTTATTTCTCTGCTGTCTGTTTCTAATTCATAAAAATGCCAATTATCATAAGAGTTCCCACATGTACAAGGTAATCCTCTTTCATTTATACTAAAAATGGTCAATTGTTTAAGAGAGTTCCTGTGTGTGCTACACATGTTTCAAGAAAGGAATGGCATTTATTTCTTACAGCTATTATCAGAATAATATGATCAACTAGAAAATTAAATCCTAGAATTGCTATGGTACTGTGTTTATACTAACAGACTACACAGCCAGCTTACCTCGTCTCCTCAACAATGACATCACTTCAGATTTGCATGCAGAAAAGTTTCCCACTGCATAAGATCTCAAAAGTTTTGCATCACTTGCATTTGATGCAAAGTCATACCCTCTAGGAATGCAAGGATTACTTGCAATATCCTCTCTGGAACTTGAAACTGCAAAATTAGGCTAAAGGTCACTGTAACAAGATAATGACTGTATAACATAAAATAATCATGGGAATGTTGTTCACTACAATTGAAACATGTGTATAAATTGGGTCACAACTCACAAAGCAATGCTATGAGAAGTTTGTTTAAAATCAAACAATGTTATCTTCATGACCATAAAATTTATTTTGTTGCCGAACAAAAGAAAAAAAAAAAGAAGTTATCTTTATGACCATAATGAATCAAAGCTGTACTTTCCACTTCATTTTTCTTTCCAAACAAATTACTCATTGCAGGAGAAACATTTTTCTTAGCATTGCATTGCTCAACCAAGCCAAACCACCTATTGCTTGCATTACGCCTACGACAAATGTGGTAGTCAAACAAGAATTAGGTAAGCTGACAATGAAGCCAGTCAACAAAGCAATAATTGCTCAAGAAATTGCAGAAATGAGGTTAAATGTGTGTACAATATAACTACTTAGATAGCAAAGAGAATTGGAAATGATGAAAGTATACATAATATAATAATCAATTTCACCTTTTCAAGCTCATAGTTGCTGTTATGCCTGTTTTATAAATTGATCAATGTATAAGAATTATATCCACATTGCACTATCTAAAATTTTTCAGGATTTGCCGAATCAATATGTCGATACTGTATGATGTTTATATCCTATCTCCATATCAATGCTTACTTAGTATCAGCATGTCCTCGATAATCCTAGAGGTGTCTTTCATTTCCAAAACTAAACAATTTATTTTTAAATTATATGATGATTTGGATTCTTGGAGATGTATGGGCAACAAATATATAGAATTAGTTTTTTTATAAGCAATTCTATTGCAATAAATTTTGTGATGGAATTAGTTTATAATTATGGGAGAGGAACACCTATTGTTCAAAAAGGAAAGTTGTTATAGGTAAATACAACATAGGAGCATGTATGTTACAAGGAAAAATCAACAGACATATGTTGATCACACTAGACATGGGAGGTGTCATATCAAAACAAAGTCATGAGAACAATGCAAGAACAAAGAACCAAAGAATTTTTCTATAAGCAATTAGAAGTCAACCTCCTACGTATCTAACAGCTATATGTTGATATTTTGCAAGTACAAACTAATCAAATTTTATCCCACAGGAAAATAGAAGGAAATACTCAAACTACAAAACTTACAAGTTAACAAGTCTTTTGAGTTGTGTAGATCACATAGTGATTCCCATATTGCATCCTGTAGAAGAACAAAGGTCAGACTCCTCCCCTTTTACTTCTTGTAAAAATAAAAAAAAAATAAATAAATAAAAAATAAAAAATAAATTAAAAAAATTAAGTAACAATCAATTCCTTGAAAAAGAAAGGACGGATAGAATACGAATTCATTGTCTCCACTTGCCATCCACTATTTTACAAATTTAGAAAGTTTACTTTCTTCTGTTTTCCTTTGTCTTTGTCATCTTATTGACTGCACAACTTATATTTAGAATAATGATCAGAAGTAATAGCCTACTACTAGATACATCACAAATGAAAAATCTTACAAAAAATAAAATTACAAAATATACCTCAAGCAAATAGATATAAAGCGTTGTTCTACTTCTATCATATGGGGATTTTTCAATTAGTCAACCAATTTATTTACCAAGTTCAATGTCAGCCATTTACCCTTTGATGCAGTTGACCTTCATAAGAATACCCAATGAAAATTATGAGCCATATATGCATGTCAACATAAAGTGCAATTTCTGTTTTTATGCCCTCCCTAGCACCCTCTCTATCTATCCAAGGGATGTGAAGGGCAGAGGCCCTTGGTGTTTGCTCAAGTCACACATGACATATAGTTTGATTCTGATTATGAGCCATATTTACATAAGAAGAAAAGGGAAAACATTTCTCAAAAAGAACAAATGTGTCATGATTGATGAACAACTAAGCAAAAACAACTACTTGGGAAAAATGAGACTAGGAACAAGAAGAGGAAGATCATGTGAAAGAGGCTCAGAGTAACAAGGAATAGACTCAAAGAAAGTGACATCTCTTGACAAATACAGAAACAATGTAGAACTATGCATGTTCCAACCGTCCTTCATAGAGCATGGCCTATTATATTCGTATTCCTATTCCACAAAACAATACGTGTTCCAACCAATTTTTTTCCTCAAAATTTTCCAAATAAATAATAAATAATGTTGTGCCGACAGGATATTGTTAAGGATGAATAACAAATTATTACTTAAAAAGAATTAAGTTGTAAAAAGAAACTTCTCAAATGATGGCAAACTTTTCCAAAAAATTTACGAATCAACATAATCATAGTAAATGGCCTCATGTAATCAAAGCCTGCACAATTATAATTAAATCTAATGTCAAAAGTTGTTCAGCATTTGCCATTCGGGCTTTCAACTTCCTTCCCATATGATCCTGTGGACAGTTACCATTACCTATTAGTATGTGATTTAACTAAACGACTCATAATACATTTCTATACTTTCAAATAATAACACAACTTTATGAGAGTTTTATAAATTTTGAACTTTTCATAACTTAAAACCACCGAGCCTCCCCCTCTCCCTGCCACCCCCACTACTTTATTTGCAGGAGTCATTTTTGCCACCCCATCTAGTAAACAGGTCCATGATGGTCAGGTGTTTTGAGGTTGATGTTCTCTCTCCTCATCCATTTTCAACTCATGTATCTTCATTTTTCTTTTTGGGCGGGTCAGAAATGTTTTAAGGTTGGCAGAAGTTATACAAGAATTATAGGAATCTGCTCAAACATTAAAATATGCTTTCAGAACAGTTCTCAGGGGACATCGCAACATATTCTTCAAAAATAATAAAAATAAAAGGAACTATATAATCTATTAGGTGTGCCTTAAGAAAGAAGTTCTTGCAAGTAACATTGACTTTGTTAACCTACAGTGTAAACCCAAGTACAAGACATCTTCAAACTGAAACAGATTTCTCAGGTTACCTGCCAACCCACCCCAAAAACACCAAAAAAAGATTAAAGCAAAGTGTCTATGCAAAAAATAAACCAACATACAATGGTATAATAAAGTCAAGAAAAAATAAGAAAGTTAAACACCAATGTCATAAGAATTATAATGCCAAAATAATAAAAAAAGAGACACCTGACCAAAGTAAGGTGTGCTTTTCGTATACAGATTGTAAGTCACTCCAGCCAGTTTGATAATCTGTGAAAGTTGCATTGGTTGTGGATCTCTAGGAGAAAATGCAACCTGCGTCCATACATCAACTGGTTCAGGAAAGAATTCCCAATCTTCTAAATGATTAATGTTCACCCAGGTAAATATCTCAGTACAATGAGTCAATAATCATTCACTTAAATGAAATGAAAAATCCACTAACATATTCAAAACAAAGAAAAGGATAGTGGAAAGCCAATACCACATGTTATATAAAATCTATGAAGCACGGATACTTCAAATAGGGTGACGTATCCGTATCGTATCCGTATCGGATACCGATACTCCTTGGATACTCGCGGATACGTATCGGATACTTATTAAAAGTATCGGATACTTCTTAATTAATTTTTCATTAATTTCAGAGTATCGGATACTTAATTTTGAAGTATCGGATACTCCAAGTCATGTTTACTTGTTTTATGAAATTAGAATTGTAACATTTATTGCATAGTAATAGAATGCAATATAATTGCGAGTATAAATATAAGAATATTTTTCTAATACTTTGTTAAGTTCTTCGATAAGAAGAGCATAGTGAGTTAAATAATAGAATTTATCAAATTGATGTATCCTAATTATTTCTTGCATGTCCCCTATAACTACATAGAAACTAAGAATTAACAAAAGAATATAACAATGGTAAAATTAAATATCAATAAATAAATAAGCAAGTAAACTTGAATATAATATTTTTCACTATTTAGGGGGATGCACCAATAAATCCCAAATTAATAACTTATGCACTGTTTAGTCCTAAAAGTTTTCTTATAGACTGAAAGGTCCCATTCCAATGTTAATAACATCAGAGTCATGTTACAAACATTGGATTTCAAACATCTAATGTTCATCAAATTTCAATAATGCTTGAAAATATAGGATGAAAAACATTTAATGTTCATCAGATTTCAATAAATTTTGAAATTATAGAATGAAACATTAGATCATTTACATCATTCACATCATGTTGATATAAAAATGGGATTAAATGGAGCATAAGAAAACTTTTAGGACTAAATGGTTCAATGTTTCAAAAACTAGGACTTTTGGGTAAATTTTCCTAATATTATATATATAAATCAATTATATTTTATATATTATAATCAATTATATTTTATATATTATAAGTATATTGTAGATTATATATTATATATTATATAATCGGTATTATATAATATTATATATATATGCATATATGAATACAGAAGATAAAAGGGAGAGATAGATCGCGAGAGAAAGAGAGAGTGATCATAAACGAGAAACAAAGCAGAAGAGAGAGATCGCGACCGCGATCGTGAGAGAGAAGGCGAGAGAGAGAGAGCTCGCGATCGTGAAACAAAAACGAAGTAGAAGAGAGAGCAAGCGATCGTGAAGCAGGAGCGAGAAGAAGACAGAAAGAAGGAAAGAGAAGACGAAGCAGAAACGAAGCAGAGGAGAAGAAGCAGAGAAGAGAAGAAGAGAAGAGAGCAGAACCTGGGAGTGGAAGAAAGCCGAGGCGCACAAGACGCTCGCCTTGCGCTTCGTAATAAGGCGCTCGCCTCATCGCCTAGGCAGCACTTCACCTGTGTCGCCTCGCCTCACCATGACTGAGGCGCAAAGCTGCGCCTTGCCTCGCCTTGAGCTTAGGCGCGCGCCTAAGCACGCTTTTTAAAACACTGACCATGTCATTGCAATCACATCCCATACTTCCAGTATACTTTTGAAACATATTATTATCATCAATTGTCTGAGGAGTGGGATGACCAGATGGTAATAGGCTCACTGAATAATGGCAAAACATATCAAAGGCACCCGTCAGAGGGTATGATAAGAAGAAAGATGGAATCGTTGTACAGAACTTGGAGACAACCTGAAATTTAAAGTATTTTAATGTGATGTAGGAGAGTACTATCTTTTACATTTTATCTGAAAAAGGTGAGTATCTAACCAAAACAAACTGTCCAAGATGGTTGTCATATCCTTAGGGATCTTGTCAAGCTATTAGAAGTTAGTTAGGCGATTAAGATTATCTCTTGATTCTGAAGGCTTTCGAAATAAAGCTTAGTGGCAAAGCCTCTCTTCAGTAGGACTGACCCAATGCGGTCCAACTCAGTAGGTTGGCGCTATGACAAAACCTCCATCTCTAGCCTCCAAGCCACAAGACCCCAGAGTCTCATGGCGTGTGCCAAAGGCTTTGACTTATTTAGTTCATGCCTCTAGCCTAGGTTAATCAGTCGTGCGGTACAACCATGGTTTTAAATAATGGTATCGATGATACGGTCATATAATGGTCCATATCAGACAGTATTGTCTGAAATATCAGTGAATAAGGGTATTGAAAGTCGAAAATCCCTTACGTATCGGCAGATACGATACATAACAACTGCTATTTAAAACCTTGGCTACAATTACCGTTGTAATTAACGTAAGTTGTGTGGTATAACCACTGCAATTAAGCTATGGGATGCACGCCATGACCACTGCGGTATTGAGGCACGGTGTACCATCGCCGTAATCAGGAATTTGGTTTGACCACCTTGGTAATGGAAATTTTAAGACAGCCTGTACTCCTAACTCCCACAGGAAGTCAATTCAGCAAGCTTCATAATGATGAAATATAGGACTTAAATATATATGAAGTGCTATGGCTCTTTATTTTTGTTCAGTATGGCTGAAAATGTCTCTCTCCAAGACTTAAACGCGCAAGTATATATGCCGATATGTAAAGCACAAGTCACCATTTATGTGTCTATGAAACATAGAGGAGGTATATTGCCAAAGTAACCAAGTTCAAAATAATGGCTGCAAAGGCACAACTTCTACAATAACAGTTACAAGGAATAAGTTAAACAAAGACAATTGTGAAGAGATAAGTATGCAATTGATCATTAGGTATGTTAAATTCTTAAAATTCATTAGAAAGTAGACCATTGTACAATGTACCAACAAAAAACATATTTCACTCTAGAACTCCTTTTCTTTTCTTTTCCCTTTAATTTTTTTTTTTTTTTTTTTTTTTAAAAACTTTAAATTACATTGCATACACGATAATGTAGAAAACAAAACCAAGCAGAATTGTAGGTTTAAAACATTGTTGAGCTTTCTAGGAGAATCACATGCAATCCCTCATATAATTTCAATCAAACTATTTTTTTGGTTTTACCAGCTACAGTTATCCAAAAAGTGCACCACTCTAGCCACTCCTTACCATTTTAACAATATGATTCACAATCATCAAAATTTTACAATTTTCCGTCCATTGTGTTCCTTAATCTCACACCTACCATCCCCTCAAAGCAAATCCCAATGTAGATGTGTGGATGGCCAAAGGTGAGTAAAGCTAATTAAAGGAACCTTATGAAAAGTAAGGTAGGCAATGAATTGGCACTAGACCACCATAAATCAACTAAATAATAGCTAAAACAACCTTCAAGAGAGAGACAGAGAGAGAAAAAGAGAATGACAACAGTAGAGGTAGGGTGAACCCAAGTCTCCAATACATAGGAAATTACTTGCTTATGGATGGAGAAGGACCTCTTAAAGGGGTCAAGCCAACTCAGCTTGGCATGCTAAGGGAACATGCCCAAGTGGGCACGTGAGGTGGGGTTCGCTCTACCTAATTGATGCTCCATTATTGACATGATCGTAACAAGTAGTAGTGTTAGCCACAATGGTAGTGAGATGTGTTCCTCAAGTACAAAGCGGTACAAAGCACATTGCATGCCTTCATCTTGGTCTATAATACATTCTTGTGGAGGTCTATCTTCGTTTAAGACAGGACATAATGCAAGTCTTTCAAAGGTGGTGGGACCAATACCTTGATAAACCCTCACCCCTAGCCCCAAGCCACATGACCCCAAAAGTACCACATGAGGGTGACAAGGTAGCGCTCAGCCACCCTATGACCGCATCAAAACCCGAGAGGCTCCCTATTGACTTAGGCCAGCATGAAAACATCAAGGTTCCATTAGAGAAGGGATCATAAGGCTTAGAGGTCCCGTTTGTTTTCAGAGATAGAATGGAGGGGATTTATAGTGAGGGGATTAATAGTGAGAAATTGTTAAATTATTTTTATATAAAATAATAAAACAAATAAAAAAATATAAAAAATGAAACATTAATATTTTAAAAAAAATTCCCAATATATAAAAAATAAAAAAAATAAAAAAATTTCTAATCCCCTCACTATTTTTCTAATACCATCTCTATCTCCTCCTTACCAATCCCCCTTCCAAGGGGACTATCAGAGCCAAGTGAAGTTGTATCCTGTTTCTAACTGTTTAGCTACTTCTGTTCAATCGTTTTCCTTGTTTGCTTAATTAATCCTGTTTTCAGTTCATCTTAATCACCCAAGAGATCAGTCTGTTCTATCCACCTAGTTTAAGTCACCCACTTCTTCCCAGTCTTCTGTAAGTCCTTCGCTTTAGGCAGAGTCAGACCTTGGGGTTTATAGATAGGGTATGTATGAACACTAGGTATGTGGTAAAATTGACAAGAATAGGGTATGTATTAAGATATCTGTAAAACTGGTTAATTAATACCGAACAATGAATCGATTATTTAGAAGTAACTCATCAGTCAGTTCTAGGTCAACTGCCCTACCTTCCATACCTAATCCAGGCATCATAATTAATGAAGAAGATGTTGAAATACAAAATGATCAGATTAATTCTGGATGGAATATTCCAAAACTTCCTATTAAAGAAATTTATAAAACTTCTTTTATAAATAATGTTTTTAAAGTTACTCTCCATGTTAAAACTATTGAACAAGTTTATGCTTTAGAAAAACCAAGAGAAACCTGCCAGTTATTTGATAAAAAATTAATCAAACGACATTTAGATCATGGTTACAATTTCATGCATATTGGTTTAATTCAAATTGGTGTCAATCCATTAACAATGATAGGACAAAATACTTCTGTTTTACTCTGTTTAAGAGATGCTCGTTTTCTTAATTACAATGCTAGTTTAATGGGAATGATGGAAACTGGTCTTAATAAAGGTCCAGTACATTTTAACTGCTTTCCTGATTTTACATTAAGTTTAAGAGATCCACATATTCTCAAAGCACTAGCACTAAACATTCAATTACATGGTACATTCACTGAAATGTTAGATTCTTCACATAATATTGCCTTAATTTATTGTGTTCATTATAAATGCATGCAAACTAATTTAAATGTTCATGCTCTACATAAAAGTCCCAAGGATAAAACTTTATTAATCCAAAGTAGTAGTACTAATGAATCAAATATTAATATTCCTCACATGATTGAATGGAAAGATATTAATTTACCTGATCAATGGGTTACTGTCAATGAAAATTACAAACATAATCAACAACAATCTTCAATCCAAGACATTCAACATATCCAGCAAAACAATGATGGATCAGTTAATATCAAATTTAATCGAAGCCAGTCTTCTAGACATAGTACATCTAGTGTCCCTTCTGAAATATCAACTGAAGATGAAATATTTAATACTCCTCTATTTAGAAAAAACAGTCAAATCCATCTTGGTCCAACTAATCCAACTTCAACACATAAATTAAAAGGAATTGATAATTCTACCACTTCCCAAATTAGTAAACCTGTTTATACTACTACCTCACATTTCCCTGACGAAGAAATAGCCTCAAATAATTCCCCAACTCAAACTGATTTTGAAGAATTAATACCACCTGTTAATCCTCAGCTAATGACAATTAAAAAAGATTTTACTCCTAATTTAGATAAATTACTTATTGAATTCAAATCTCAAGAAAATAGATCTAAAAGACATGCTTATAGTACTAAATATAATTCTGTTCAACAATCCAAAATAACTAGAGAATGGTATAATTTTATGGTTCAATATGGTTTTGAATTATCTTTCTTTGATTATATGGATCAATATTACAAAAAGGTTAATACAATCACAAAACACAAATGGAAAACTTCTCCAAATACTTCGGTTAGTTCTAATCATCCTCCTTTAGAAAATATAATTATTGATCACCAAGGTTCTGACGTCCCAGCCTCTCCTTTTAAGTTACCTGGTACTGACCCTGAAATCAAAAAAGTTATTGAACAAAATAATTATACTAATCAATGCTTAAAAACAATTGGTAAACAATTAGATAAAATAGAAACTACTTTAGATGACCAATCTGCCAAATCCACTAAATCTCTAGATCAACCATTACTTAATCTACCTAGTCATCGTTCTAAACGAAATAGTCTAGTTACTACCGATCAATCTACTGTCAAAGCTATTGAACAATTATTTACCAAATTAACTCCTAATGACACTTCCACCTCTAAAGATAAAGGTCTTACTGTCTTGAATCAACAACCTATTGCCAACACTGTTTCTGATCAATCTGAAACTGATACTACTGATAATGAAATAAATCAATTAGCACAACAATTTCAACCTACTACTCTTAACAAAATTCACTATCCTAAAGTTAATCCTCACAACACCAAAAACTGGTATTCCAAACCTACTCCTGTCGACCTCCAATTTGAAGACACTAATATTAGTAATCAATTTTCTGTTTCTGCTAAAAGATTATACGAATGGAATATTGATGGTCTCAGTGAAGATCAAATCCTTCAAAAATTAAATCATTTATCTATGGTTAAATCAATTATTTTCAATCCAATATTTTTTAGGGTACTTGCGTGTAAGTCTTAATATGTAGATTAATTATCCAATAAATCCAATGATAATTAATGACGTTTTTCATTAGACACTATTAAAAAATCTCACTAATTGTTAATTTTCAGCAACTGTGTGAAAATTGTTAAAAAAATGTCACTAATTATAAGTTTTAGTAACAGTTTAAAAAAATCGCCACAAAAAATGTCACTAATTTTTAACTTTTAGCAACCATTTGAAAATTTTGTCACAGAAAAACGTTACTAATTGTAAATTTTAGAGACAATTTATAAAAACCATGACCAAAAAAAAGTTACTAATTGTCAATTTTTAGCGACATATGCAAAAAATCATTATAAAAAATATTTTGAGCGATGATTTTACTAAGACTTATTTTTAATAAAATTTGATGGGAATTAAGTTCAACTATTAAGATCTATTGGTAGTTACCCTATTTTTTTAATACTCCTACTAAACTTACCTACTTTTTTTTTTTTTGAATATTCTAAATTTTTTTTTTAGAAAATTAATCCAATTTTCAAATTATTTGTGAAATTAATCCACTTTTGAAATCGCATTTTGAACATATAATTTCAAGTCGACATGAATAACAACGCTTTAATGTGACAAGTTGAAATTATATTTTTAACATGCAATTTTAACATAAACTCGCATTTTGAAAATGAGATTTTAAATTGCGCAATTACAAAATCTATTCTAAAAATGACATTTAAAATTAAAATTCTAAGGTTTATTAGTTGCTTCCTACTCATCAACAAATGTGAGCCCTGCAGAGAGAAATATGGGTCTCCTCACCAGTTAGCAATCAAACACTAGAGAACAATATTAAGTATTGAAAAGACAATTTCAACGCTGTTTCAGAACTGTAAATGAAACCAATGAATGGTAATTGTTTGTCATCTTTGGGACTAGACTAGAACCATTAGAGAGCAGTTTGGCTTGTAAAATAACATATCTAACTAAAGAACAGGAATCAAGGTTTGGATGCAAGAATTCAAAAATGTGTTATATCATTACTAGTTCCAAAAGCTTTAGTTGTTAGCAAATGAGCCAAACAACACCCTCCCTCACATGCAACCCATCTTGTATATAGAGATACAAACAACTATACATACAGAGATTTT